ACTATTCCAACCCTCTTCACCCCCCCCCCCCACTACTCATCTTTGCACTAGCCCACCTGTATATGCTTCAATGTAAACATTATATGCTTCAATGTAAACACTTGATCTACACCTCCCCTACCCACTCTAAAACCTCCTTGCTCATCTGCAATCCTACATTCTGTCTTACCTCTTAATTCTTTTAATAATAACCCTACCGTACACTTTTCCTGGTATACTCGGTAAACTAATTCCACTATAAATTTTAGTCTCTTTTGTCCCCTTTCCCTTTATATAAAAGGATTATATGTGGTCTCTGCCAGTCCCTAGGTGCCTTCCCCATTTCATACATCTATTATACAAAAATACCAACCATTCCAACACTATTATCTCCCCCTTATTTTTTTTTTTTTTATTATCACACCGGCCGATTCCCACCAAGGCAGGGTGGCCCGAAAAAGAAAAACTTTCACCATCATTCACTCCATCACTGTCTTGCCAGAAGGGTGCTTTACACTACAGTTTTTAAACTGCAACATTAACACCCCTCCTTCAGAGTGCAGGCACTGTACTTCCCATCTCCAGGACTCAAGTCCGGCCTGCCGGTTTCCCTGAATCCCTTCATAAATGTTACTTTGCTCACACTCCAACAGCACGTCAAGTATTAAAAAACCATTTGTCTCCATTCACTCCTATCAAACACGCTCACGCATGCCTGCTGGAAGTCCAAGCCCCTCGCACACAAAACCTCCTTTACCCCCTCCCTCCAACCCTTCCTAGGCCGACCCCTACCCCGCCTTCCTTCCACTACAGACTGATACACTCTTGAAGTCATTCTGTTTCGCTCCATTCTCTCTACATGTCCGAACCACCTCAACAACCCTTCCTCAGCCCTCTGGACAACAGTTTTGGTAATCCCGCACCTCCTCCTAACTTCCAACTACGAATTCTCTGCATTATATTCACACCACACATTGCCCTCAGACATGACATCTCCACTGCCTCCAGCCTTCTCCTCGCTGCAACATTCATCACCCACGCTTCACACCCATATAAGAGCGTTGGTAAAACTATACTCTCATACATTCCCCTCTTTGCCTCCAAGGACAAAGTTCTTTGTCTCCACAGACTCTAAGTGCACCACTCACTCTTTTTCCCTCATCAATTCTATGATTCACCTCATCTTTCATAGACCCATCCGCTGACACGTCCACTCCCAAATATCTGAATACGTTCACCTCCTCCATACTCTCTCCCTCCAATCTGATATTCAATCTTTCATCACCTAATCTTTTTGTTATCCTCATAACCTTACTCTTTCCTGTATTCACCTTTAATTTTCTTCTTTTGCAAACCCTACCAAATTCATCCACCAATCTCCCCCTTGTTTATATTATTTTGATATTCTCAAAACCTGTAGTTCAGGTACTGGAACTTAGTTTTCCACGTTTGCAATCATTTACTGCTCGTTTTTTTCTATGAAGGATCACAGCACACTTGACATTATAATTTCTCTGATTCTTGTTTTGTTAAATCCCTATGTACAGCGTGAAGGACCAGTGCGAGAGTGGGATTTGGCTAAAATAGGAGAGCGCTCACCAGGAGAGAGGGAAAGGGAGCGTGAGAGATTACGAAGGGAAAGAGAAGAGGAAAGGTTGCGAGAACGTAACAAAAGTCACAGCCCCACTGGACATGAAGGTATGTTTTACAATGTTTATATTTATTTATTTTTTTAATAGCTCTCAGTTATATGTTTAGTAGTACATCGGTACCTCAGTATACGTCCACTTTGGAATATGTCCTGTTTGGACATGAAAATTTTTGCTTGGTATACAACCTTTGTTTGGAATACGACTCAAATGCTAGAACTTGTATGGGTCAAAATGATAAAAGATGGCACCAATGATTTTGTTAGAGTTTGGAGAATTTGTGGAGGCTGAGGGTTTTGTTCCCCAACAAGTTTTTAATTGTGACGAAGAAAATGCCTAGCAGGATCTGTATTACTCGAGGAGACAGCATTACCAGGACACAAGCCAATGAAGGATAGGTTAACTCTCTTGTTCTGTGTCAATGCAAGTAGGGATTGCAAACTGAAGCCTCTACTGATCTACCACTCTGAAAAACCCAAGGGCCTTTAGAAAACATAACATGCAGAAAACTCAGTTACCTATGATGTGGAGGTCAAACAGCAAGGCTTGGGTAACCAGAGAATATTTCATCGAATGGTTTAATGTTATGTTTGGGCCAAGTGTAAAAAGTTATTTAGAGGAGAAAAACCTGCCATTGAATGCCCTCCTCATAATGGACAATGCTCCAGCTCACCCTCCAAGCTTGCAGGACTCTGTGCTGACAGAGTTTGACTTCATCACTTCAGCCCATGGATCGGCAGGTCATCAGTAATGTCAAGAAACTCCACTGAAGCACTATTCCAGAGGTGCTTTGAAGTGACCTCTAACACAGAGTTAACCGTGAGAGAGTTTTGGAAAGGTCACTTAAACTATTGCCCATTGCATAACTCTCATTGATGAATCCTGGCAGGAAGTTTCGTACAGAACATTGAACTCTGCTTGGAGGAATTTGTGGCCAGAAGCAGTGGCTGAAAGGGACTTTGAGGCTGTAGTGGAAGATATTCTCTCTGGGCAGATCCATGGGTCTGGATGTGAGTGATGTGGAGGAGTTAGTGGTGGGGCACAGGGAAAAGCTGACCACTGAGGAGCTGCAGGAACTTGAGGAGGGAGAGCACAAGACTAAGATGGATGCACTCTCTTCAGGCTCGGAAGAGGAGGTAGAGGAAGCCCCTACTTTATTAATCAAGGAAATCTTTGCCAAATGGATGGACGTCAAAAACTTTGCTGAGAAGTACCATTCCAACAAAGCCCAAACAAGCCGTAATAGCATTTTTTGGAATGACCAGACAATGTCACATTTCCAAAACATCGTGAGGGGAAGGCAGAAGCAAAGTTCTTTGGACAGATTTTTAGTAAGTCAAAACTGGTGAGCTTCAACCAGGTGCAAATAGGGAAAAGAGAAGGGGACTCTCCTTCCACACAATAACATTTCTTTGTCCTCCCTTCTCAGCACTATCCTAGTAGGCACTTAACTCTTTTCAGCAAAGTAAAGCGAGGTTAAATTCATTTATTTCATCTAATTCTTTTGTATTTATGTATGTATTTTAGTATTAAACAGTGTTTAAATTACATAGTATTAAGCAGTTTAAATTATTTTATACAACCCCATCAATTTGTAATATGCCAATAACAATAGGATTTTTTTCATGGGAACGGATTACAGTGGAACCTCTACTTATGAGTTTAATCCATTCCATGACCTTGCTCGCAACTGGATTTGCTCGTCAGCAGAGTAAATTTTCCTCATTTAAATTAATTGAAATGTAGTACCTTCCAGTGGAATTTCATGCACAAGAAAATACTTTAATAATTTCCCTAATATCAACTCTACAGCTTATTTATCTATCACGATTCATGTAATATGACATAAACAATATTAATAACATAGAAACATGATATATACACTAGAATGAATAAAATACATGTCATTAGGTATGTGGCTAGGGGTAGTGACAGCAGCCATTGTTGTTGGGGTTTATAGGGCCACCACAGCGACCATTCCTGCTCCTGACTACATGTGTAGTGAACCTAGGATAACCCAAAAAAGTCAGAGTAACTTATAAGTGCTACACTCTTAATACTTCACTTAATTGCTACACTCTTAATGCTACACTTAATTGCTACACTCTTAATGATACACTGAATTGCTACACTCTTAATGCTACACTTTGCCACTGCTGCTTCATGTTGTCTGCCACTGCTGCTTCATGTTGTCTGCCACTGCTACCTCATGTTGTCTGCCACTGCTGCCCAATGATGTCTACCACTGATGTCGCCAAAGAATCGAACATTTCTGCTATTTTGAGCTCAATTTCAAGAGGATAAATAAGTATACAAGATATGATGTAGGGCGAAATGACAGTAGTTTGTTGGATTATGTGTTGGTAGATAAAAGACTGTTGAGTAGACTTCAGGATGTACATGTTTATAGAGGGGCCACAGATATATCAGATCACTTTCTAGTTGTAGCTACACTGAGAGTAAAAGGTAGATGGGATACAAGGAGAATAGAAGCATCAGGGAAGAGAGAGGTGAAGGTATTACAACCTAGGCTTTCAAATGGCCTGTTAACCCAGGTGTAATGGGAGCAAATAAACACAGTAGAAAAAGTTTAGACTTATATTATCCTTCACCAAA